GAAAGAGATAGCTGGTACGATGGCGCAAGGCAGGTTGCCCAACTGGCAGATCACCGCAAGGTTGGGCGCTATGCAGCAGAACGGGCATTATCTCGTTTGAATCCACAAACGGTGATAACAGGTCAATATCCCATTTTGTTTGAAGCACCAGTTGCCTTAGGCTTGATGAGAGCATGGGTTGCCGCGGTGAGTGGTGGTGCTTTGTATCGTGGAAATACTTTTCTTCAAAAGAGTATTGAAACGCAAGTTTTTTCTGACCACATTTCTATCGATGAAAATCCTTTTATCAATGGTGCTAATGCTTCGCGTTGGTTTGATGATGAAGGGGTAGCAACTCAAGCTCGTACGGTGGTTAATCAAGGGGTGTTGCAAGGCTATTTTTTAAGTACGTATTCTGCTAAAAAACTGGGTATGCAAACTACAGGAAATGCAGGAGGTGCACATAATTTGCACTTGAAATCGGCCACAACTAAAAAAACGGACGATTTGGTGAGTTTGATTCGAAGCATGGATAGGGGGGTTTTGATTACAGAATTAATGGGGGATGGTATTAACCGAGTGACGGGAGATTATTCACGAGGAGCTTCAGGTTATTGGGTTGAGCATGGCGTGATTCAATATCCTGTGGCAGGTATCACAATAGCTGGTAACCTAAAAGACATGTTTAAACAGATTGTCAAGGTTGGGAGTGATGTCTTTAATAGTGGTGCATATAGCTCTGGTTCAATTTTGTTAGAAGAGATGATGGTTGCAGGAACTTGAATATGCGTTCAAAAAACATGGTATAGTTGTGAAAGGACTTGAGTAATAAAACAGATGCATTACAATAAGACCAAATAACAGGTGATTAACACGTGTTTAATCTCATGAGGTAGTCAATATGGCAGATAGAAAAAATCCTAAAAACTTAAGTAATCCGTTAGGTTCTCAAGAAAATACTAATCTTGGACATCCGATTGCTGGAGGTACAGGAGGTGTTTCTTCAAAAAAAATGCCTCGTTGGGTTTGGTTATTGGTGACGGTGGCTATTTTGCTAGCATTAATGGCTGGTGTTGTGTATTTGAATAAATCTGTTTTGAAAAACATAAAAGGTGGTGAAGGACGACCAGGCATGTCCGATCTTTTTTCTAAAAATGATGAAAGTTTATCTGAGTCGGACAAAATGATTCTAAAGTCACAAGCTGCAGGCAGCCCCAATGCAGTACAAACCTATGAGCAGCAAGTTAATAGTGTAGAAATGTCACGTAAAATTAGATCTGAGCTTGATGCTTCAGAGACAGGTACGGCTAAACGTGCCAAAACGGCAGAAGCATTATTAGCTGATCTTGAGCAACAGTTTAGTTCGAATAAGCTTTCAAAATTGGATTATTTGAATATGAAAGGGTATTTATTGCAAGAGGCCTATCCTGATCCTCAGGTACGTCAACTCAAAACAGCAGAGTTTCAACAGCAGTCTAGAAGTTTCATTATCGATAATAAAGCTATTCCCGATTCAGTCAAAGAAAATTTGAGTACGTTTTGGCAACGGGAAGATCAACTTAATGCAAAATATCGTAGTCAAATTGTCGGCGATCCTAACAGTCCTTCAAATAAAAAAGTTTTAGAACAGTATCAAACTGAGTATGCTCAAGCCCAAAAAGAGGCGATGACTAAAGCCACAGCGGCTATGCAGGCTAATCAAGATGCTCAGTTCAAGGCAGCACTTGACAAGAACCCTCTAGGGAGGCAAAGATACAATGAAGAATTAGCCAAGATGAACAAGCTCGAACAAAGTTATCGTAAGACGGTTAATGATGGCATAAAGTCTGGTATTCCTTTACCTCCAGATATGGAAAAAAATTCTGCACCCGTGTACCCAGAGGCTAGTACGGGTTTAGGTGGTGATCGTGGCGATGCCATGGCTCCGCCTCTTTCGCAGCCAAGTGGTTCAAGTTCAGTAGACTCTATGGCGCAAAGTCCCACCAGTTCAGAAGGTAGCCGTAGGCCTCCTTCTCAAGCTGATTTGGATGCGGCGGCGAAAGCTTTAAATTTGCCAGCAA